CATGACTTTGAACATTTCACATTAATAAATCATTTCTAAAACTGGTGTTTTAATAACTCTTTATTATCCTAATTAAACTAAACTAAATAAAACCAAAAATATACTGTAATATGATAGATATCTGCTATTTGAGAAATTATTCAAGTATTGGCGGCACAACTCCAGCACGAGTGGACGGGTCTAATCCCTGTCCATACAACACCATGCTTGTTTTGTTCGATTTCGTCGCAACAGTTCCGTGATCTACGGCTTCGAAATAATAAAATAAATAAATCAATTCCAAAGTAAGTGTTGTTTTATAACTCTTATTACCGTAATAATGTTGCTAAACTAAACATGTAACCCCAAAATATATAATTTGATGTAAATCGAATATTTGAGAGAAATTTATGTTACTGGAAATCGAACACAACACCAGGCGGGTTTTGTTCGATTTCGTCGCCACAGTTCAGTGACCTATGGCTTCGAAATAATAAAATTAATAAATCAGTTCTAAAATAAGTATTTTTTATAGCTCTTATTACCATAATAATGTTGCTAAACTAAATATATAACCCCAAAATATATTGTGACGGTAAAGTGTTGGAGTGTTGATGTTCGGCAGTCTTCAATGGCAAGGGGCAATGCCTTGTCACATTTACAGAAAAAAAAAGAAACTGCTTGCCTGTTTGTCTGTGGTAAGGTAATGGGAAGACACACAAAACACAAAGTATAAACAATGAAATTTTAATTACTCTAGAAAACAAGATATGAACAAAGACAATCCCTTGGCTTACGTAAAATTCAAAACAAGTCAACAAACAAAACAACATGAATAATTAATGGCTGTAAAATTTACTCTAAAACAAAATAAAGTGCAAGAATAATAATAATATTAATCAGGTGTTGAGAATACTGGCTTAAGCTGCCACCTCCCTTAGTACACGACAGCCAGAGCTTTGTCTACCAGAGAGAGATGTCAACTCCAAAGAGCACAGAGATATTCTGAGGAGTACGGCGTGTGCTGGCCCAGACGTCGACTCAGGTAGTGGGCGTGAGTGCAGGTGCGGCGACACACCAGCCAATCAGGAGCAGGCAGGCGGAGAATGGGTAGTTTGCTCGTTGAAGGCGAGCGGAGGCCGGCGTGTCTGGTGGTGCAAGGTACGCTTTGCTTCCTGGGCAAAAAGTTTGGCAATACTGGTGGACGTATCTTCAATATAGTATCTTGTACTTGAATGATGTGAATTATGCTGGGAAGAGCAGGCTCAATATCTCTTGAAAGAGATTATCGTCACAATATAATTTGATGTAAATTGAATATTTAATTACTGGATCTGGCTTAAACACCAGCCTACTGAAGGGTAAACGTATAGACTTAGTCTGCGTTCGTACAGTATGTACCCAGTGCCCTTAGCTTTGTCTGCGATTGACGTACAGTATTTATCCGCCGGTGGAAGAATAATTGTGGAATTGGCCATTTTTTTACTACAGCTCTTTGGTTATAAAATAAAATGTCTCAGGGGCTTACTAATAGTGCCTTATTAATACCAAAAACAAAGCAATATTTTGAAAGAACTAGTAGCAGAAAATCAACCAGCAGGAGCACAGCCGTACCCAGCATGAGAACAGCTGTACCCAACACAAGAACAGCCGTACCAAGCACCAGAACAGCCTTACCCATCACGAGAACAGCCGTACCTAGCAAGAGAACAGCCATACCAAGTATGAGAACAGCCGTACCAAGCACAAGAACAGCTGAACCCAGCAAGAGAACAGCCGTTCCCAGCACGAGAACAGCCGAACCCAGCACGAGAACAGCCGAACCCAGCACAAGAACAGTCGTACCCAGCACGAGAACAGCCGTACCCAGCACGAGCACAGTTGTGTCCAGTACTGGTACAACAGCAGCCAGCACCAGCTCAGAAGCAGCTGAACCCACAGCAGCAGCGAACACCAGCAAAGCTGATGCAAACATCTAAAAACATCGTGTGCGGCGTGAACAGTTAGAACAAGTGTTAAATTTAAGTGTGTACACAGTGTAAAAATTAATGTTGCAGTAATTTTAGTGTACAATAGTTTTCATAAACTGCATTGTAGTACTCAACATACAGCAGAACTACTTTTTATCAACACAGTGCTAACGGCATAATGCACTGTAGCACGTATTTACTGTAGAGCATTCACAACTTCACGAAACTTCAAGATGGACATAACTCCAATAACAAGGTAAATTTATGAATTACAGTATTTTTTAGTAGAGAAGTAATATATAGGTACAGTATGTAATATGATAATGCATTTTTATTGTGTACAAGAAAAAAAAGGCACTGACACAAACGCCTCTTGAAGGTCACCTCTTGCAACGAATCCAACGAACTGGGGTTGGTCCCATATAGTACGTTGAATCGAGGTTGTACTGTATTGTTAAAATAAAGTCTGGTCACGGGCAACTAAAAAATAAATATTGTATATGACATACTTTAGCTGTGATGGAGCAATTTGTGCAAGTGCCCGTAATTTGAGAAAATTATGGGCACTAGGCAATGGAGCGCTCGGGGTTCATCGCTCTGCTCAAAATTATGGGGCTTATATATGTGACATATATATTATATGCTACGATCAATCAAACAGTGTTTTTGCTGTTATTACACAATATTCACACATTGTATATTCCCATCTACATATGTGTTCACCATAACGAACCACTAAGTTGGTATGGTGAGCCCAAAAAAACAAGATTGAGCTGCCACACCCAGCCAGCCCTCCCTCACTCCTCCAACACCTTACTCGCCAACATTCCTCCTCCCACCATACTGTTATTGTTTTTATTATACTATTTACCCACATTATGTATAAATATCAACATGTTTTATTCACCATAACTATGCAACTAAGCTGATATTGTGTCCAAACAGTACAGTGGCCACCATACACTGCATGACAAGTCACACAGCAGACTACAACGCTACGAGTACGACGCCACCTCCCTCACCAAAATGGCTCCTCCCAACATACTCCTGTTGCTGTTATTATACTATATACACACACACACATTATACAGTGGTACCTCGTATTACGAGCATCCTTGTTTATGAGTTTTTTGGATTACGAGCAGGATTTGTTCGGAAAATTTACATCGGAATACGAGCATTGCTTCGGAATACGAGGGTGTTGATATTCGTACAGGCTGACCTAGTGCGTGGTGGTACTGCGATCGCCCCTCAGTTTACAATGCCTCGTGCCCAGTGACTATCCCGCCTGAATTCTTCACAAGGATTTACAGTGTTCTGTCGGATATTTGGCCATTTGAGCATAAAAGTTGTTATTATATATCTTGCAATGGGTCCCAAGAAAGCCAGTGGTAAGGTTCAACTTAAGAAAATAGTTGTGAGTAGAGGCAGTAGAGGATGTCCCTTCCTCATTAAGAAAATGTGTGAAGTATGGGAAGAACTGCAAAGTTTTGTTGAAAAAACTCAACTAGATAAAGCTGTAGCAGGCCATTGCATTGACCTTTTAAATGACAATGTGATGTCTTACTACAGACAAGTGTTAAAATGTAGGTTAAAAAAAGTGTCTTTAGACAGATTCTTAGTAAGACAAGCAAGCAGTGAGCCACAAGCAGGTCCTAGTGGTATGTAGGCAAAAAGTGCCAGAGCGCACACCAGAGAAGTCCTCACTGCCTGATGTTATAATGGAAGGGGACTCCCGTTCCAAACAGTGACTCCTCACCTCCTCCCCCCTCCTCACCATCTTCCATACACCAATAGCAGTCATCAGCAAGGGTAAGTAATAACTTGAACATAGTTTTGTAGTGTAGATTTCGATGAATTAGGTATAAAATTTAGTTTGAAGTGAGGTTTCTGGGTAGTCAGGAACGGATTAATTCATTTCCTATTATTTTTTATGGGGAAATTAGCTTTAGTTTATGAGTTTTCGGATTACAAGCTGTCTCCAGGAACGGATTAAACTCTTAAACCGAGGTACCCCTGTATATAAGTATATACATTTGTGTTCATCATAGTGAACCACTAAGCTAGTATGGTGAGCAAAACAAGAGTGGCTGCCACACACTCACGCTACTTCGATTCCCTCCCTCCCTCACCAAAATTCCACCTCCCACAATACTACGCACAGTGCTAATTATCACCACAATCCTGGTCACTAAATCCTGTAAATGAATAATTGACCACACGTTTATTTTGTAAAGGAACATATGAAGTCGTTTGAAGATTCCTAGATGGACAAAATAATGTTGTGGTGCTGTGGCTAGTGCTGTGAACATCTTGAAGAGCATTGATTCACTGGCATTTGAACATTGTACACAATCATTATCACACTCAGGCTCTTCTGTAATACTATCATGTCTAAATAATACCAGTTACATATATATTTTGACATTATTCGGTAATGCTGTGGTCACAAGCTGAACAGCAGTGCTGTGAACTCGTGTTGCGTGCGCCAGTCTTGGTTGCTCACTCAGTACTGAGGCTCTTACACCCGGGAATGTTGCCCACGATTTTTTTTTAAATGGCGTCTGTTTACAAGAGCCCTGAGGAAGCTGATGTGACCCCCATGTATCTGTGGGAGTTTTGAATCATACGCTATACCTGTAAGATCCCTGAGGTGCGTTACGCACCACCCGTCGAGCGCCTACAAGCTCGTTGCGCAGTGCAGTGGTTCAGAATCTCATCTTCCTTAGAGAGCAGAACTTCCATAATGTCTAAATTCATAGCTCTTTTATAAAGCCTTTTGAGAGCATTGATAAGCCCTTAATCCATGGGCTGTATTACAGATGTAGTGTTTGGTGGTAAAGCCATACATGTTATTTTGCCATCAGGCGATGTTAATTTAGCAATGGGGTGAGCTGGGGCATTATCTCTCAACAGCATTGCCTTTACCTCAGCAGGATGAATTCAACACTCTGAATTCTACATCTGCTGCATTTTTACTTCTTTACAAAAGTGATTCTGGACCAATCCTCAAAAATAATCTGTGCGAACCAGGCATTTTTTGTGTTGTAGATGACAGGTAGTCTGTTCATGCAGTTTTTCAATGCTTTAGGGGTTGACAGATTTCCCAACAATTGCGTCCTTTGTTCGGTGACTGCCATCTGCGTTACAGCACAATAATGCTGAAATTCTTTCCTTCTTTACCTTGCAACCAGGAATACTCTACTCAAGCCTGAAGGCCAAAGTGTTTCTTTGAAGGCAATTTCCAGTTAAAGCCTGTTTCATCTGCATTGTACACTTAAAACTAGCTTAGATTATTAGATATCATGTGCTGAGAAAGTTTATGCTTATATGCATTAGCACTACCAACATCTGCACTTAATGTCTCGCCACAAATTTTCTTGTTTATGAGTCATACCTGTCTTTAAATTGACATATCCATTCAGTGCTAGCCTTGAAATTGTCTATGTTTAACTTTACAGTAAGTCTTTCAGCTGCATTTCTAATAGAATCAACTGAAACAGCAATTCCTTTCACACGGTGCTGTGTAAACCATTTAAATAAAGACGAGTCCAAATCCGTATACTGTACTTAGCAGGCTTCAGTGTTTTCCTGTTGCCTATTGCATGAGTTTGAGCAAAGAATTTCTTAATATTATCCTTCTGTTTTTTTATAACACAAACTGTAGCTTTACCGATTTTGAATTCTTGGGCGAGTCGAGTGAGAGAGTATCCACGCTCTGCTTTCTCTTATCAAGTCAACTTTCTGATAAATTGACAAATGTTTTCTCTTGTTTTATACCTAAAATACCATGAATGCTGCTCTGAGACATCTTGTCAGATTAAATGAGTTCAAACAGTAAAAATTGTTCAAATTTATCACGAAAATCCTTCGCGTGCGAGCCCGACATTTTTACCCCAGGAAGAGGAGAAGCACATGGTGCCAGCCATCTCATCCAGGCCCAACGTGTTGACATGACCTGTGCTTATTTTATAGGCATACTCAAAATTTGATGTACATATTGACTGTTATAAATTGTTTTATTTAAAATATTATTATTGTTATAATTAGTGAAATATTGTTAGTTTGAAGTTGTATGCATTTTATACAGTTTAGTTCTGTATTAACCCTTAACCCCTTAACTGCGTTGCCTCCAAATGTGACACCCCCGCAGTGCACAGGAAATAAATTCTCTGGAATTTTTTTTTTTCTTTTTAAAGTGTCAAAAACCCTTCCCTCAGTATGGGTATGTAAAAAAAAAGTCGAAATTGTACTTACTTTGGCTGCTATGGGGTCCGGAAGTTGGGGTGTGACGTCATCATTCCCCATGCGCCCGTGCCGTAAGCTCTCGGGGGCGGTGGGGCGCACGGGGCGGGGCGCACGAGTTGCCGCAAATATATTTTCGTTCATTTTTTGCGCACCTTTCCAAATACATTTTCATTGTTTTTATGTGCCAATCCAATGTATAATGAACATGTACACTATAATATCGCAGTACAACATCCGTACTGTCCGTAGACACTGTGTTACGTGCATGAAACTTGTGTACACATATGCAGGACATATTTACTATGTATCATGCTAATTTGTGTATATATACAATCTATTTACACACTATACACTGTCACACACTATATACATTCACCACCAACACATTCAGAACACCGCGTAGCAGCTGCTTCGTATGGGCCAATAGCAGCTGCCTCGTATGGGCCAATATCAGCTGCCTCGTATGGGCCAATAGCAGCTGCCCCGTATGGGCCAATAGCAGCTGCCCCGTATGGGCCAATAACAGCTGCCCCGTATGGGCCAATAGCAGCTGCCCCGTATGGGCCAATAGCAGCTGCCTCATATGGGCCAATAGCAGCTGCCCCGTATGGGCCAATAGCAGCTGCCCCGTATGGGCCAATAGCAGCTGCCCCGTATGGGCCAATAGCAGCTGCCCCGTATGGGCCAATAGCAGCTGCCTCGTATGGGCCAATAGCAGCTGCCTCGTATGGGCCAATAGCAGCTGCCCCGTATGGGCCAATAGCAGCTGCCCCGTATGGGCCAATAGCAGCTGCCCCGTATGGGCCAATAGCAGCTGCCCCGTATGGGCCAATAGCAGCTGCCTCGTATGGGCCAATAGCAGCTGCCTCGTATGGGCCAATAGCAGCTGCCTCGTGTGGGCCAACAGCAGCTGCCTCATATGGGCCAACAGCAGCTGTCTCGTATGGGCCAACAGCAGCTGCCTGCTGTTGGACGCATTCAGACCACCTCGAGTGAGAGCAGCCACACCCAGCCAGTCTCCCTCACTTCAACATTGCTCCTCCCACCATATTGTTATAGTTCTTATTACACATGTTCTATATACCTATCTACATGTTTTATTTACCAGAACTATGAAAGTAAACCGGTATTGTGTCCAAACAATACAGTGGCCACCATACACTGCATGAAAAACCACACAGCAGACAACGCTACGATTACGTCACCTCCCTCACCAAAATAGCTCCTCTCAACATTCTCCTGTTGCTGTTCTTACACTATACACACACACTATATATACCCATGTACATATGTGTTGCCCATAGCGAACCATTAAGCTAGTATGGTGAGCAAAACAAGAGTGGCAGCCACACACACACAATGAGGCTACCTCAATTCTCGCCCTCCCTCCCTCATCAAAATTCCTCCTTCCACAATACTACGCACAACGCTAATTATAACTACAATCCTGCTATTATCACAATCCTGGTCACTAATTCCTTTTAAATGAATAATTGACCACACGTTTATTTTGAAAAGGAACCTAAGAAGTCATTTGAAGATTCCTAGATGGACGAAATAATGCTGTGGTGCTGTGGCTAGCGCGGTGAACATCGTGAACAGCATTGAATCACTGATATTTGAACATTGTACCCAGTCATTATCACACTCGGGCTCTTCTGTAATACTATCATGGCTAAATAATACAGGTTATATATATATTTTGACATTATTAGGCGATGCTGTGGTCACATGCTGAACAGCAGAGCTGTGCGCTCATGCTGCGAGTGCCAACCTTGGTTGCTCACTCACTACTGAGGCTCTGACACCCGGCAATGTGGACCATGATTTTTTTTAAGGTGGCGTCTGTTTACAAGAGCCCTGAGGAAGCTGATGTGAACCCCATGTATCCGCGGGAGTTTTGAATGGAACGTGAAAAATAAAAACACCCGGAGGCGCGTTGCGCACCCGAAACCTGGGCCTGCAGGCACGTTGCGCAGTGAAAGGGTTAAGGGTTAATTATGGTGTTATTACCCAGTTATGTTGCGTGTATTAACCCTCTGAAATGCAAATAGTGTATAATTTTGCTCAATCAGGGGTGCACATAACACCTTAACCACTAACATAAGAACATAAGAACAAAGGTAACTGCAGAAGGCCTATTGGCCCATACGAGGCAGCTCCTATTCTATAACCACCCAATCCCACTCATATACTTGTCCAACCCGTGCTTGAAACAATCGAGGGACCCCACCTCCACAATGTTACGCGGCAATTGGTTCCACAAATCAACAACCCTGTTACTGAACCAGTATTTACCCAAGTCTTTCCTAAATCTAAACTTATCCAATTTATATCCATTGTTTCGTGTTCTGTCCTGTGTTGATACTTTTAATACCCTATTAATATCCCCCGGTTATGTCATTCATCCACTTGTAAACCTCTATCATGTCACCCCTAACTCTTCGCCTTTCCAGTGAATGCAACTTAAGCTTTGTTAATCTTTCTTCATATGAAAGATTCCTAATTTGGGGAATTAACTTAGTCATCCTACGCTGGACACGTTCAAGTGAATTTATATCCATTCTATAATATGGCGACCAAAACTGAACTGCATAATCTAAATGGGGCCTAACTAGAGCAAGATATAGCTTGAGAACCACACCAGGTGTCTTGTTACTAACGCTGCGATAAATAAATCCAAGTGTCCGATTTGCCTTATTACGAACATTTATGCATTGATCCTTTTGTTTTAAATTCTTACTAATCATAACTCCCAGATCCCTTTCGCAATCCGACTTCGCAATCACAACACCATCTAGCTCGTATCTTGTAACTCTATCATCATTACCTAACCTCAGAACTTTACATTTATCAGCATTAAACTGCATCTGCCAATCCTTTGACCATTTCAAAACCCTATCTAGATCAACTTGAAGTGATAGTGAGTCCTCCTCCGAATTAATTTCCCTACCGATTTTCGTATCATCGGCAAATTTGCAAATGTTGCTACTCAAACCTGAATCTAAATCATTTATATATATTATAAACAACAGAGGTCCCAGGACAGAGCCTTGAGGCACTCCACTTACAACATTTTCCCACTCTGACTTGATTCCATTTATACTAACTCTCTGTTTCCTTTGGTATAGCCATGCCCTAATCCAGCTTAATATAGCACCCCCAATACCATGAGACTCTATTTTTTTAATCAGTCTTTCATGTGGCACTGTATCAAAAGCTTTGCTAAAGTCAAGGTATACAACATCGCAATCCTTACCACTATCAACTGCCTCAACAATGCTAGAATAAAAAGATAACAAATTTGTTAAACATGAACGGCCATTTATAAAACCATGTTGCGACTCAATTATTAATTTATGTTTTTCAAGATGAAGACGAATTTTATTTGCTATTATAGATTCGAGTAACTTTCCCACAATAGACGTTAGGCTAATTGGTCGATAGTTAGACGCAAGTTAGCTATCTCCTTTCTTAAAAACTGGTATCACATTAGCAACTTTCCAAAACTCTGGCACTCTGCCTGACTCTATTGATTTATTAAATATGGTTGACAGTGGGTCACAAAGCTCCTCTTTGCATTCTTTAAGCACCCTAGCAAACACTTCATCCAGCCCTGGGGATTTGTTTGGTTTGAGTTTTACTATTTGTTTAAGAACATCCTCCCTGGTAACTGCTAAACTCGTCAACCTGTCCTCGTCCCCACCCACATAGACTTGTTCGGCTGAAGGCATATTGTTAAGTTCCTCTTTAGTAAATACAGATACAAAATATTTATTAAAAATACTACTCATCTCTTCATCACTATCTGTTATTTGACCTGTCTCAGTTTTTAATGGACCTATCCTTTCCCTAGTCTTAGTACGATATAACTGAAAAAAACCCTTTAGGATTTGTCTTTGCTTGCCCTG